GCTGGCCTGAACTGCCAGTAAGGGGTAATAATCAGAAGGGCGAATCAGTCCAGGACGTTTACTAGAAATGTCCTTGATCCTTGCTCCAGGGAGTCAGCATACCTCCCTACAGGTAGGGTCAGGCTGACATATAGGGCCTTCCGTTCCTCTCAGAAGGAAGCTGCCTATGACAACCACCCTTCTGTCCTTCCAGGTGGAGGCAGTCTTGAGGAGCAGGGTCGACCGCTTCACCCAAGGCAACCTCATGGTGGACCTCCCTCCACACCCCCACTCACCTCTCCCTTCAATTCCAGCTTCAAACCTATTTCACAGAAGCACCTGGGGAACCAAGGATGGTCAGGATAGGGGATGCCCACATTTACACTCCTCCTCCTCTCTCAAATTGCAGGGCAGGAGGTCCACCACTGTCTGGTGAATATCACCCTGGTGCCTTTCTGGGAGAGAGTTATACCACTTATGCCACTGCCCCACACCCCCAGTTCTTCACCATTATTTCTAGGGGGAGGAGAGGACAGGGGGCTCACTACAGCAGGAACGCTGCCTGCCTGCCCATTCCCCTCTGTGACCTGTTTGTATGGCAGCAGGGGGTGACATGCTCCATGTGGAGCCTCAGATGGCTGCCAAGATCTCGGGGCTGATAGGGACTGACACCACCAATCAATCTCCCTCTCACATTCCTTAAAGCTCTTCAGCCTCCCCACCTTCTCCTTCAGGTCAGTCACAAGTAAGTCATTTGGCTGGTCACATCTTACACAAATGCTGTCTCCCTCACCTAGCACTGCAAAAAGCCAGGCTCTGGCACTCAGCACGGCTAGAGACCTGCACACTAGCATGTTGTTTCAGGACCTGAGTCTGTCTTCACATTTTTCTTAGCAGCAGCCTTCCTTCCATGTGTGCAAGGGACCTTCATCTGGGTCTCTGCATTATTCCTGGCAGTAACTCACATCAGCCACTCTCCTGAGAGCTGCTGGGCTGCTCTGTTATCTGGGTGTTCCCTGGATGAGGGAACCAACAAAACCCCCCTGGCCAGGACAGCTCAGAAGGAGCAAACCTCGGCAATCTTCTACAATGTAAAAACAGTACTGCAAATTTCCTGTCTGACTACATAATCCCTACTCTGCCTCCATTATTGGCTATGTTGTCTGGACATACTGAATTTCAGTCACTGCAGCCCTGCTTCCTATGGTGATGCTGAAGTTACACCAGGGATGAACTTGAACTTGCATTTTCAGTAATATTTCTAAAATTTCCAAATTGTCCGGACAGCTGGGACTGCAGGGATCATAGTAGAAATCTCATTTTCTCATTGATAATTATTTCTTAGCTTTCCTTTTTCAGGCAAGAGTTTGGAGGGGAAAGCCTCTGGCAGAGCTAGCCTTCCTCACTCTTGTCTGTCCCTGTAAGATTGTGGGGGAAGAACCAGGCAGCTAAACAATACTCCTGCATGCCTGGAATATCGCTGCTGTTGCTCTAATTTGTCAGGAATACAGATCCTCTGCCTCTGACATGGACGAGTGCGATCCTGGGAGAATTGCACACTCCTTGCATTTTGTCCTTACTTCCTGTTATGCAAAACTTTTTGGGGCTTTGGTAGCCTCACTTTCTTTGCTAAAGATGCTTAAAGATTTCTGCTGTTGGATCAACCATCCCACAGCTATTCTTTCTCCCAGGAGATGTTTTTCCTTATCTCACAGATCTATGGCAAGGGTCATCCTCTCCTGCCTCCAAATATTAGACAACAGTAACTTGTTTTCTAAGAATGGAGGAGCCCAGTGGAAATGCTTGTGTGTTTCCTATAAATTTGATAATGAGATTAGCTGCTAAGAATGAAAACACATATGGCCTTAGACATCATTGTGGAATATTTCATGGATGTTAAGCTGCTGACCCCAGTGTGTATATATTCAAGGCACTACATATGGGCCATGACCTTTCTTGGCAGTGGTTATGCAGGTTATCTTACAGTTCCTGTGTTGCTTACTAAAAGACTGGATATGTAATTAAAGTAAAATCGTGATTCTTGGAGAATAAAGTAATCTCATGGACACGGAACCTTGGGAAGGCAGATGACCTTTCTTACCATCTTATATCTCTTTTATTCGTTTATTTAGTTTTATTTGTAGAAGTCTCACGGCTTAATGCTGTTGCATCTTGATGTAACAGCAGATATGCTTCTCATGTCAAGGGGAACAATATCAAACGTTCTATTAGGAAAATTGTTTTCAAGTAGAAAATATTTTTCACAGAATAACAAAGTTTTGTGGTTAGTGAGATAAGCCTTTTAAAAAACTCAGGCTTTGAGCCAAGAAATATAGAATAATTAAAATGGACTTGTTTGCTTCACTTATCATTTTAGTTATTTATGAATCTAATAAGTATTTAGTTCTTCCATTTAGGGTGAGTTTGCATGGTCAGATGTGTCTGAAATGTGCACATTTTACTGTAGGTTTTGGCATCACAGAAAAATGCAGTGAAATTTCTATTTACAGGAACAGAAGCAAAATCAGACAACGGTGTCTCAGTATTATGTGATTTGCTTTGTACAGGATCTGAAAGATATAACTCTGTGTTACTACTGTGTGTCTGGACTTGACACGGGGAATGGTGGCTCAAAACAATGTCTGTCATTTGTCTTCAAAAGCTGATAGTGGATAGCCACATTAGGGATGATATAGTCTTTTCAGGAGAAGATCGAAGAAAATTATTTTCTTTGAAGTCTGTCTTTTGGTTCCCAACCAATGATTTTGAGAACAGTTGTAAGCCTTAGGGTCTTCTTCCAAAACCAGCCCAGAAAAAAGATTGACCATAAGTATCATCTGATAGCATGTGTCTTACATTGCATAAATTCTTGAGCGCTGACAAAAAGCCACAGCTCAGAACAGAAATCAAATGGCCCAGTGAGATGGTCTGCTCTCCGCTTCATCTTTAACACTGCAATCAGGGGGAAAACCCTGAGGAACCTGCTGAAACCAACTCACTGAAATGCCTATCACTCCTAGAGCTGTTGTACACTTTGGCCTCTGGGCCATGTCTAGATAGAGCTTCTGTTAGAAGAGTGGCTTACTCACAAGAACAGAAATCAATCAGATGATATCTCTGAATATTTCAAATAGGTAGGAAATGGATCATTGCTCATCGGTATTCCACAACATTTGCAGGGTAATCCCTTCCCTTTTTCATGCAGGCTGCAGACATAATCACCACTTTCCTACTTGGACATTGGCAGGAATGTGCTGTGGCATCTTCACAATAAGAACAGTAGAGCCAAACAAGAGTCATGAAATATTTACAAAATATTACCTGGATTCTCCTATAAGCAACTAGAGGTGATTAATTTGATGAAAAAAAAAAAGCAAAAGTGTATAAACTTTCAATTAAGTTACAAAACAATACAATAATAAACTATTTCTCCCTATTGGCAGAGAGCGAACTGAACCATAGAATCACAGAAGCATAGAATTGTAGAATGGCCTGGTTTGAAAAGGACCACAGTGATCATCTAGTTTCAACCCCCCTGCTCTGTGCAGGGTTGCCAACCAGCAGACCAGGCTGCCCAGAGCCACATCCAGCCTGGCCTTGAATGCCTGCAGGGATGGGGCATCCACAGCCTCCTTGGGCAACCTGTTCCAGTGTGTCACCACCCTCTGAGGGGAAAACTTCGTCCTAATATCTAACCTGAGCCTCCTGTCCCAGTTTAAAACCATTCCCTCTTGTCATATCACTATCCACCCTCATAAACAGCCATTCCCTCTCCTGTTTATACACTCCATCCAAGTACTTGAAGGGCACAAGGAGACCTTCTGGAGCCTTCTTTTCTACAAGCTAAACAAGTCTGGTTCCCTCAATCTTTCCTCATAGGAGAAGTGCTCCAGCCTTCTGGACCATCTTAGTAGCCCTCCTCTGGACCCACTTCAAGACCACTGCAACTTTCTTGAGCTGAGGTCCTCAGGCCTGGACGCAGTGCTGCAGATGGGGCCTCCCAAGAGCAGAGTAGAGGGGGACAATCACCTCCCTCTCCCTGCTGGCCACCCCTTTTTAGTGCAGCCCAGGATATACTTGGCCATCTCAGCTGTAAATGCACACTGCTGGCTCATGTCCAGCTTCTTGTCCACCACGACCACCAAATCCTTTTCTGCAGGGCTCCTCTCAAGGTGATCCTTCCCCAGTCTATACAAAGACCTGGGATTGCCCTGGCCCAAGTGCAACACCTCACATTTGGCCTTGTGGAAACTCATGAGATTCACGTGGGCCAAGCCAGTCCAGGATCATCTGAATGCCTTCCCTGCAACGTACTGATGGCAATGCTCAGCTTGATGTTGTCTTCCAAAATGCTGAAAGTGCACTATGCAGCTATCTATGTCACTGACAGATGTAGAAGAGCCCCAGTCCCAAGAACAACCCTGCGAGACATATCTTGTGATTAGCTTCCACTCACAGAAACATCAATCACAACACTGTGGCTGTGACCAGCCAACCAGTTCATAATCCATTGAACAGTCCATACTTTCAACTCCAAACCTCTCAAATTCAAACAGAAAGATGAGATGTAACCCCGCCCCCATTTTCTGTCAGGCCATTCTGCCTGTGGGCCTGTGGGCCCGCTGTCCCCGTTCAGGGGCACAGGTAGATCTGAAGTAACGCCACGACAACCATCTGGGAAGGTGCTGGGGAGAAGACGACCCCGTGGTCTCAGCTCCTAACACTGCCTACCGCAGGACAAACAGAGACGAGTGACGCCAACATGTGGGGAGGGTGTTGAAGGTGTATTTTTTGGGAAAGATGGAATCACAACCGTCACGTGGGGATGGACACGGCTGCTGGAAGCCGACTTTGGGACTGGTTGTGGGGATGTCTTCTGCGATGCTGGACCCGGGAGCGGCTTTGTGCCCGGGCTGGTCCACCGCAGGATGAAGGTGGAACGTGTGGACTCTCTTCAAGGTTGATCTTCTGTGCCGCTTGGGACCACAGCCCACGTCACGTGGGGATGGGACACGGCTGCATCAGCGCCGTCTTTGGGACTGGCCGTGGGGCCGTCTTCTCGGGTGGTTTGCCCGGCAGTGGCTTCGTGCCTGGGCTGGTCCCTGCTGCCTGGACCGGCTCCCACGGCCTCGTCGGGACCGGCTGTGGGAAGTGGAAGCGCGACGCCCCACTGGGGATCGGCTTCGAGTGGGGGCCCGCCCTCGTCCTTGCCTGGGCCGTCCTCTGCGTGCAGGCAGAGGGGAAGCCCTCGAGGACGTCGGTGCTGCTGGTGTGGCCGAGGTGCGGGTGCCGCCCTGAGTACCTCGGGCTGTGGTACGGCTCCCACCACGTTGTCTTCGGGGCCGACTCTGGGAGCCCGAGGCCCGGCCTTGCAATGGGGAGCGGCTTCTTGTGCGGCCGGTCTCCCGCTGCCTGGGACGATTTGTGGCTGCGGATGCCTGGGTTGTTCTGGAGGACCGTGTGGTCCTCCGTCTTCTGGGGCTCTCGGAGGAGGTCTCAGCGCCTGCAGCTGGTGCCCGTCTTCCTGCACCGCGTCCTTGGTGCTGCTGACTTGCATCCCGCTCCTCAGAGAGGTGTGAGCGGGTGGCGGTCTGCTCAGCCTCCGGTACTCTGGGCTGGACGCTGAGCTCAGGCAGCTGGGAGTTGCAGGATGGGCCGGGAGCTGCCTGCATAGCAGGGCCAGAGCTGATGTTTTCAGGTCCTGCAAAGACGGGGGAAGGCGCCGGTACCTCCTGGCTGGAAGTGCTGGGGCTGGCAAGCTCGGCGCTGGAGCGGGGGGCTGTAAGGAGAGACAGGAAGCTCAGCAGGATGAACATGCAGCCCCAGGGAAGGACAGGCTGCCATCCCTCATGGGGCAGAGAGAGACTGTGGCGAGGCCACCCTGAGCACCCGTTGCCAGGCCTCGCCTGGCCCCAGTCCCGCGGCACGCGGCTCTTTGCCTCTTACCGGTGCTCCTGCCAGCGCAGGTGTCGCACTCCCAGCCATTTCTGCCCAAGGCCCAGAAGGAGCAGCACCAGTGTGTGCCTTCTGAGCCGCAGGAGCTGCAGATGAGCAGCTGCCAGAGCCTGCGGAAGCAAACGGGTTGTGGCTGTGAGGACAAAGCGAGCCAGGGCAGGGAGCAGATGGCATGGCTCCGGTGCTCAGTCCTTGCTGCAAGGCTGAGATCCCACGCAGAGCCCCAGAGGACTGTGGAGGTCACTCACCCCTTCTCCTGTGCCCTCTCCCTGCCTCCTACGTAGATGCACGGGCTGGCATCGCAGCGCCTGTGGCTTTCTCGCAGCAGCTGGTATGCTGCATCGTCCCACCAAGATGGTCGTCTGCCGGAGAAGAGAGGGAATCTGGTAAGTCTCAGGTGCCCCAGGCATAAGGCAGATTCAGGGCATCCCTGCTCATCCTCCTTGAGCTCATTCCCTGCCTCTCCAGGAAGCTGAGACCAGTGCTCGCAGGATGGCCTGCCAGGGCCAGGGGCAGTTCCTGGGCAGGCAGAGCAACACCTGTGCCTGAGTGTCTGCGGAGCCGGGCAGAAGGACACCAACCTGACTGGGATTTGGATGCCCAGGGTGGTCATCTGGGAGCGGAATCTTGTTTTTCCTCCGCAGACGGGGCAGAAGAATCGCATGGTGGCGGCGTGCAGGGCATGTTTCTGTAGGAGAAGCACAAGCGTGAGCGTGAGCGTGAGCGGGGGGGGCTGGCTGCTGCAGAGCACCAGCCGTGCCCACGGGGCGAGGGGAGGACTCCTACCCTGATGCAGCCCCGGTGGAACCAGGCCTGCTTGCACACCGGGCACACCATGGTGTGGTAGGACGTGCTGTCCCCCACGGGCTCCAGGCAGATGACGCAGATGGTGTTCTGCGACGGAGCTGCCTCCGCTGCCTGCCGAGGGCGATGCTCCCAGCAGAAGGACCTGGGCGGGAGGACAGAAGGGGTGGGCATGGTGAGAAGTGCAGTGAGGAGGGCAGAGGACCAGGAAAGAGCGCCAGGCCTGGGCTCTGGCTCTGGTAGGATGCTGGAGGTGTCGCTGCGGGTTCCTCCCTGGAGCAACAGCGAGGGACGGCAGCTTGGCTGCTGCTGGCAGCCCTTACCTGTGCGGCCCAAAGTGCTGCGTGACGCATTGCCCGTCCTCGGCGCAGGGCAGGTGGAAGCTGCGCTCGCAGCCTGTCTCCGCGCAGCTGATGGCAGCTCCCCTCTCGCCACAGACAAAGCAGTTCTGGAAAGAGCAGAGCAGCCCCCGTTAGCAGTGGGCTCGGGGCCTCGGCGGCCGGCGCCACTTCTCCGGGCAGGGCGCAGGGTGTGGGCACCGCTGCCTCACACTCTGCAGAGCTGCCTGGCAGACGAGGCTCGTCTGCTGTGGTGGGACTTTGTCCCGGAGCCGGTTGGAAGGGCCGCGATGGCTTTCTTTGGGTCCAGGGAAGCCGGTGCGAGCCTCTGCCGGCACCAAGCTCCCCGTTCCGTTCAGCTCCTCACCTTCTGGCCTGCCAGCTGGACCGTGCGCTGGATGGCGCTAATGGGGAAGCCAAAAATTTCCCCCACTGGGCATCTCCACTCCAGAAGCCCGTTGGCAAAGACCTGCAGGAGAGAAAAGAGCGGGATCTCATGAGGCCGGAAAGGAAGGGAGCATCCCTGGCAGGAGCCCTGGCCCGCGAGGGAACTCACCAAGCAGAATTCGTGGGCACAGAGCCCACCGCTGGCAAATGTCTGCCCGCAGATGTCCGGGTTCACCTGTGCGCGGCCGCACAGCACGCACACTGCAGAGGAAGGAGAGAGCAGCCTGGTGAGCACCTGGCAGGGCCGGGTGTTCCTGGGGGCCGTCCGTCCCCAGGGCCTGCTCCGAGCCTGCCGTGCTGCTGCTGAGGGGCAGGGCTGGAGGGGGTGGAGGGGAAGGGGGCATCGCAGGCCCAGCAGCTGCAGCGGGCAGCCACAGCCCGAGCCGGGGCTCTCACCTGGCTCCCCAGAGTCGGGGGCCTCCTCCTTCTTCTCCGCCATGTTCGGCATCACAAGAATCACAAGAATCACAAGGTTGGAAACAACCTATAAGATCATCCACAGTGAGAAACAAGAGAGTCGAGGAAGTCCGTCCTCTCTCCACGCCTCACCAGGCTGAAGTGAGCAGGGCCCCGGCCGGCAGCCTTTGCTCTGCTCCCGGCCCCGCGGGTCACAATGGCCACCACTGTGACATCACGGCCACCACTTCACCACCAGGCTGAGGGCGCGGCAGGGCGGCGGCTCCTGTGGGCAGCGCAGGGTGAGGGGCCCGGTGCTGCCAGCAGCAGGGGGCAAGGATGGCCTCCCTCAGGCCTTCTGCACCGCGCCCGTGCTGGGACGTCGCAGCACAGAGTCTCATAAAGGGCTGCAGGTCAACTGCACAGCCGGCATTTCTCGCGTGCGTGTGTGCTGTGTGCTGGCCGACTTTGCACGGCCTGCTGGTGACGGGACAAGGTGTTGACCTGAGAAAAGAGGAGGTCTGGTGACCTGCGAGAGGGAATTCCTCACTCGGAGGGCGGTGAGGCCCTGGCGCAGCTGCGCAGAGAAGCTGTGGGTGCAGGCGCTCCAGGCCTTGTTGGACAGAGCCCTCTTCTAAGCTGACCTGCTGGGTGGCAGAGGTCCCACGGCAGGCACCTGGGGCTGGGTGGGCTGTACGATCCTTTCGTGTCCAAGCCTTGACACATCAAAGCTTCAGGCCTCATACAATTCCTTGTGCATTTATACAAATCCTTTTACAATCAGGCAGCTTGATGTAGTGGGTGGCAACCAACACACTGCAGGAGTTTGGAACTTTAGATAGACTTTAATGTCCCTTGCAACCCAAGCCATCCCAGGATCCTGTCATTCAAAAGGTCTATCACCTCTGCACTGGGGAGCACTATGTCCAGTAGGGCTTCACCTTGCGTTGGTCTGCTTGAAATTTTTTTGCCTACAGCATTTTGAAGATATACAGGAGTGTTAGTGAGAGGAGAATCCTTCAACCTGATGTAACCTCTTGGACATGTCCCACAGTGATAGATCCCTCTGTTATTTGTTTGTCAGTATTTCATATGGGCTCCAGCATAAGGGCTGAATGATTGTGGCAATGCACACTACTTCCTAAGAGTTACCTTATGCTCTGTAACTCTGTACTTGGAAAGCCAGCCGCATAGATCCTAAGAAAGGAATAGATGGTGGAAGTAGAAAAAAATGTTCAAAGGGAAAAGTACTAGACTAGAAAGAATCTCAGAAGTGGCCCAAAGAATGCACCAACCATGATGGAGATTTTTTGAAGGAAGTGAATTACAACATCTGCTCCAGCATTCTTTAAATAGTCGACATTATTTGTGAATGGATACATTGAAACTATTTATTTTAATTAAAAATAATAAGATTCCATTGGGAAAAATCTTACAGCATCAGCAAAATACAGAAAAAATACAGGGAGGAGGGAGTATGCCAAGCCATAGTTTAATATACAGTATAGCCTAGGGCTTGAGTACATTCATGGAAGACTGAAAGTAAGATAATGTAGTGTGTGTAATAGCTATTCTAAGTTTTTGTTCAGTAGTGGGTTTGGAATAAAAAATAATCATAGAATCATAGAACATCCCAAGTTGGAAAAGGCCCATAAGGCTCATCAAGTCCAACATATGGAAATACAGTAAGACTTTGGAGGCAATATATCTAAGTGTTTGGATGACTGAATGCACTGAATTCTTTTTTTAAAATTTGGGCCCCGCTGCACCTCAAGTATACAAAAATAATCACTTCTGTTATTATCAATAATCACTTCTGTTATTATCTTTGCTTATGCCAGGTGCTTCTGTACCCCTCAGAAGCTCAGGCCATTGTCACTGACCTCCTTGCAAGGACCAGGTTTTCAGATCAGATCCATGGGCGGAAGCTCTCGTTAGTTCTTCACACCATCTCTTAAATTTGTTATTTCTTTGATGGATACTGAGGGGATGGTTCTCATTTGGGCTGGTTCCTGGCGTCAGGACAACAGGCGTTTATACCCAAGCTATCTATGGGGGAAGTGATTTCAACCCATGTCTGTGTAGTTAAATCATCTTCTATGTTTATTTCAATAGAGTATTGGTGCAGCTAGTAGAATAGAGAGAAAGAAAACCTCCTCTGGTCTTCAACTCACACAGAAGCCTTCAGCGCTCTTAGGGCTATTGTTCATCTTCTATTGAGGAATATCCCAGCCATGCGATCAGACCTTGCAGAGCCTAATAATGATTTCCCACTCAAGGGAAGGACTGTTTGGCATTGCGACTCAAGAAAATTCCCAGACCAGGAATCTCTATGATTGGAGGTGGATATGGAGCAAATGACATTTTCTACTCTGATGGAAAACCCTAGGACTAAGTTTATAAAACAATTGCTGTTGAATACTGCAACAGTGTTCTAGAAGTTTGTGGCTCATAATTGAAGCCCAGTGCTAGATAATTCCTGTCTTTTCTCCTTCTGCAGAATCACCTTACTGCACTTGAGCTATGCTACCTTTACTGGTTCTTCTGGCTTAACTCCAGGCTCCAGCCCTATACCTTTTCTTTCATTAGTGATTGAGTGGAATATAGCACGCTGCACAGCAGGCTACTCACATGGCCTGTAGTCCTCACTTTCACTGAGCCCATACTCATATGAGCAGGGACCTCTTCTGCTCCCGGGTAAGCCAACTCATACCTCACAGGAGTCTGCAAGACATCTCTTCCTTCCTCCCCATTAATTACTTGGAAGGAGACAGTGCTAGAACTAACAGCTTGAGGTAATTCACCTAATTCATATCTGGCCTGCACCATCATGACTGTGAGTCCTGGGAGATCTGTGTTTGAAATCAGAAGTTGCTAAGCCTTCTTTAAATGGCAAAGTTTGTGTGAAAGGCAGCAGTGGTACTGGATGGTGTAGAGTAGCTCTGGGATCACGACATCAAGACTCCTAAAAACTGCAGGGAAAAATCCAGTCTGAAGGCTCACTGAACTAAATGAAAGCATCCTCGGAGACCAAGCCCGCAAGAAGCATGTTGTGCATGGCAGGAGGTATAGGAATGTGCAACAGCCTCACGGAGAGGTATTTTTAAACTGTGAGTGATTACAGGTGAGGATGCTCAGTGGCAGGTAAGAAAGCGTTCCAGTTAATAATCTCCAGTAGTCATCATCTCCCCACTTTTTCTCAGTGTCGAAGTCAAATCATAGTGAGATGCTGCCTGTCTTACCAAGCATTCTGAATTCAGGAGATGGCCAAATTCAGCTTAGGAGAAAGGACCCTGAGAAACCACTTTGTCCACTCTGTAGTGATATCCCTTCTCTTCATTTTACAATTGTGAACCACATACCAACGACTTTACTCACATTTTTAAGTTTTTCTCCACCACTGAGCAGTAGAAACTCAGGAAAAAAAAAAAAAATTCCTTGAGCTTCATTCATGTTCATTCATTCAATGTAGCCCCAAGCAAAAAGCTGAATGGGACACAGGATGAGCAAGATAAATGCAACTATTGAAAAAATAAAATAAAATACAGCAGAGGAAAAACTCATATCAATGCAAAATTGATATTTCTCTTTTCACTATCAACCAGAATTTTGGAGATAACTTTTTAACCACTTTTGCCAGCTTCTGCATGTCATTCTGAAAGCACAATGGCATCTACAGTCTTGTGCTGCAGCTGCCTGTGAGTTCCAGAACAAGCTCAGCAGGCAGAAAGGGGTTCCCAGGTGAGTGTTGTGCTCCAGAAAATCCAACACACTAACCTTTGTGCTGCTGGGGTCAGGGTTGTACTGCCAGTTTGCTTCTGGTAAAATTGCATCAAGTTAACCAAATCCATTTCTTGTTGTGTTAAAACAGGTTTGACTGCTTTGTATGATGTTTAGCTTATGCTAAGAGTGGTTCAAAAGTATCTCAACCTAAATCAAGCCTTAAAAAAGGTGCAGTCTTGGTTGGGATTGATTTTTTAGGATGTGCTCTAAAAACTGATATTTCTGAAAAATTTTTTTATCATCTGTGCTGAATTTTGACCAGAGAGTTGCTGGTTTGGCATGATATTGATATCTCCTGATTTTTCATGTCACTAGTAGTTTGTATTCAGTGTTAGGTTCTGAAACCACAGAATAGCTGTAGCTATATGTTCAAAATTATAGGACACTTTTTTTGAATTTGAATTTGGTGGTAAATTCCTCTGAAAGCTTTGGTTTACACAAGGACTATCATGATTATTTTGCTACTCAATGCCAGGTTTGCTGTTTCCTTTGCACATTTGATCTTAATGAGATCCACATTGCAAAAACCCCATGCAGCCTGTAGGGAATATATACAACCTTGCATGTTTATTTAATGTTGCTTATTTCAAGACCACTTAGGATGAGGAGAAAGAAGAAGGCTTGGTTCCTGAATGTGCAAAAGTAAAGGCAGATACAAGCTGTGTCAGGAAATAAGGGGCACACTTGGAATTAATTAGGTTCTGTACTGCTTTGAGAATATTATATGCTGGGCTTGAGGAGCACTGCTGAAGTCATCTGCCATGAAAGCACAGCTGGAGCACAGCATGAAGGCAGCAAATCCCTGAGATAGAATCACACTCTTGGTATTTCAGCCACAGCTAAGTGCAGTTTTCTGGGAAGTGATGCCGTCTCACAGACAAGAAAGTTTGTGTGGAAGCTGAGCATAAGATCAGTCCCACAGGCAGGAGAGATTCCTGAAGGCAGGATGGCCTTCCGACTTAGTGTGGCACACAGCCATCCACTGAGTCCCACACACTTGGCGAAGCCCATGCCAGCTGGTCTGCTCAAAATGAGACATGGTAGGTACTTGTAGGTACATGCAGATCACAGAGGAGTCTCACATACTTGACCAGGACAATTCCTGCAAAGCACTTAGAGCAATAGAGTGGGACTGACAGAAGAAACCCAATTTAGGGGGTGGAAAGGGAAAGCTTTGGCCAAAGTCACATTGCCCCATCTCCCATAGTTCGGGTAGAACTCAACCAAGGACAGGGAGAAAGATTTTGTTGAAATGCAGGCTGACTGTCC